GTGTTGCAATAAACATCACTTCCCAAATGGATTAAAGATCTCAATGTAAGACCTGATACCATGAAACTATTACAGGAAAGAATAGGGGGAACATTAGGGTTCCTGGACAGAGGTAGAGACTTTTTGAGTAAAGATCCAGAAGCACAACTAATCAAAGAAAAAGACTTGATAGATGGCACTGTGTCAAACTAAAAAGTTTCTGCACAGCAAAGGACATACGCAACAAGCTAAAAAGCCTACATATAGAATGGGAGATTTTTGTGAGCTATATGGCAGACAATGGACTAATACCCCCAAAATAGTCATCCCTCGCTAATCACGGTTCACATAGTGCTGCTTCACTACACCGTGGAGTTTTGTTGTTGTTGTTTTATTGTTTTGCTGGTCCAGGGGCTTCAATTCAGAGCCTAGACTCCCACTTGAGCCACAGCAACACTTCTGGCTTTTTCTGAGTAGTTTATTGGAGTTAAGAGTCTAAGGATTTTCCTGTCTGATGCTCATATTTCAGCCTCCTGAGTAGCTAGGATTACAGGCATGAGCCACCAGCACCTAGCTCCTTTATCTTTTTACCACTAGATTCTACATGTGGGGGAGAACATACAGTATTTGTCTTTCTTAGTCCAATTTAATATGCTTAACATGATGTTTTTCAGTTCCATTCATCTTGAAAATGTTATAATTTGCGCCGGTGGCTTATGCCTGTGATCCTAGCTACTCAGGAGGCTGAGATCTGAGGATTGTGGTTCAAATCCAGCCCAGCCCGAGTAGGAAAGTCCATGAGACTCTTATCTCCAATAAACTACTCAGAAAACTGGAAATGGTGCTGTGGCACAAGTGGTAGAGTGCTAACCTTGAGCTCAAGAGCTGAGGGACAGTGCCCAGGCCCAAAGTTCAATCCCCATGACTGAAAAAAAGAAAAGAACATAACATTCATTTTTCTTTAGGGCTGAAAAATACTCTATTGTGTATATGTGCCACATTTTCTTTGTCGATTCATCAGTTAATAGACACCTAAGCTGATTCCATAGTCAAATTAAGTAAATTTTTATTACTCTGTTCACAAGTTCACAGATTCTATTTTTGTTCACATCTAGTTCATTATTTAGCCCATCTTACTAGTTTTTTAATTGAGATTATTATATTTTTCAGATCTATAATTTCCATATGCTTTTAAAAGTTATAATTATTTCCTGAAGTTTTTTTATGGTTTCAGATAAACATAATTGCTTTGTGAGGGTCTTTTTATGATGGCTGCTTTAAAGTCCTTCTCAGATCTTGATTCATCTTGTATTAGTGTGATTTGATTGTCTTTCCTCATTTGAGTTGTGATTTTTCTTGTTCTATTATCACGAGTGATTTCTATTGTACTAGAATTCTTTGATATTATGTTTAGAGACTCAAATATTTTCTGTGTGCCACTACTGGGGCTTGAACTCAGGGCCTGGGTTATGTAACTTAGCTTTTTTTTGCTTAAGGCTTATGCTGTACCTCTGGAACCACAGCTCCACTTCTGGATTTTTGATGATTAATTGGAGATAAAAGAGAAATGTACTCATCACCTTGCTCATGTAATTGTAACCCCTCTGTATGGTGTTTTCACAATAAAAACCTTATCTAAAAAATAAAAAGAGTCTCACAGCTGTGCACTGGTTGCTCATGCTTGTAATCCTAGCTACTCAGAGGTTGAGATCTGAGGATCAGGGTTCAAAGCCAGCTTGGGCAGGAAAGTCTAGTAAAGTCCGTGAAACTCTTATCTCCAATAAACCACTCAGAAAGCCGTAAGTGGCACTGTCTCTCAAGTGGCTGTGGCTCAAGTGGTAGCGTACTAGCTTTGAGCTGAAGAGCTGAGGTACAACACCCAGGTCCAGAGTTCAAGCCCCAGGACTGACAAAAATAAAAGAGTCTCACAGACTTTCCTGTCTGGGCTGGCTTCAAACCACAGTCCTCAGATCTCAATTTCCTAAGTATCTGGAATTACAGGCTTGAGCCACCAGTGCCTGGCTAAGACTCAAATATACTTAAATCTTCTTTTTTAGCTTTATCCATTTCTGCTTAGTTTTCTTGCTCTGGTTTATCTTATACTTGGTCTCTGCTGGTGCTACCTATAGAGTTAAAAGTGTTTCCTGATGCTGGCAAATGTTGTTAGATGGGGGATAAGGGGTGCTGATGTCCTTTATATCTGTCACTGCTGGTTCTTCTAGCATATATGAATACTTACTTGGCCACTGCCAAGAAGAATGCTAGGAGTTTTGAGGTCTATATAACTCTCTGCCACTGGGTAGATGACCAGTACATAATGGCCTAGATTGCTATCTTCTCTTTGGCGAAGAAGGATCAGGAGATTCCTGGCTTGTATCTTTTCATGCTTCTTAGTGGAGCCCCAGTAGTTTCCTAGGTCTGAGAGGTTTTGTGCTGTCAGGTGAAAACTTGTAGATGCTGGCCCTTAGTCATTGTCTGCTGCTAAATTAAGGGCTAGGAAATAATAGGGCTGCTGGCATCCCCTATATGAATGCCAACCCCCCCCCTCTTGCTGTTATCTGGTGATGAATGAGGATTTATCAATCTGCTTTGGGTTCCTTGTTACTCTTATTGGAAAATCAACCCTATACCTATTGCTTAGCTGTGGTAGGTGGGATTGCCACTCTTTTTTTGGGTGGGGGAGGGGTTCCGGTTGTGGGGCCTGAACTCTGGAACTGGGCGCTGTCCCTCAGCTCTTCAGCTCAAGGCTAGCACTCTACCACTTGAGCCACAGCGCCACTTCCGGCTTTTTTCTTTTTGCTTATGTGGTGCTGAGGAATGGAACCCAGGGCCTCATGCATGCAAGGCAAGTGCTCTACCACTGAGCCACCTTCTCAGCCCCAGCCACTCTTAATCTGCTGATTGACCTCACTGCTGCTGTTTTGTCTAAGGGGTGGTGTGAATCAGGTTATTCTTTCTGTGTGCACATCAGGCCTATTAGCCCAGCTTTCATTGTAGTTATCACCCCAAGTTTGCAACACTTTATTGCAAAAGTTATTGCCTGTAGTTTATGTGAGTTCTTTCTATTGCACAAATTGTTGGTAGTACAGAGAGATTTTGCTAACTGCTGTTACCCATGGGAGGTATGGGGTGATGAGGCCCACCTGTTTCTACTGTTGCTAGTGGACAGGACTGAAGAGGGATTGAAATAATCAAGGGAGGTAGAAAAATACAACTAGAGGGCTGGGAAGGTGGCTCAGTGGTAGAGCGCTTGCCTTGCATGCTCAAGGCCCTGGGTTCAATTCCTCAGCACCACATAAGCAAAAAGAAAAAAGCCAGAAGTGGCGCTGTGGCTCAAGTGGTAGAGCACTAGCCTTGAGCTGAAGAGCTGAGGGACAGTGCCCAGGCCCAGAGTTCAGGCCCCACAACCGGACCAAAAAAAAAAAAAAAAGAAAGAAAAATACAACTAGAGTCATAGTACATGGAAGAGCCCAACTCATGCAGAGGAGCTCCAATGTGCTATGGCTTCAAGCTACAGAATCAGTCTTGACCAATTCACAGCAGATTTGATGTCTTGTTTCAAGGAATCTAACCTTTTAGAGAATGTGGATCCATCATACAGGGTTTAACTGGGTAGGAAAATGACTTTTGTTAGTTTTCACCCAAAGTCTCTTTTTGTTGCCACCAGTAGCACTGCATAGATGATGGGGTCAGTAATTTTTTAAAATTATTTTCGACCACGATTGATATTTGCCTTTTTAGTGGAAAATGAGTCATTGGCTTATCTGCTTGGAATGGCACTATAGTAAGTAGTAGTTTTATATTCATGACTGTAAGTTCAATAATAATGCTTGCTTGTTAAGACAACAGAAACAAAAGAATGTTAAGTGTTAAATTTATGAAGTGGTATGGGGTGGCTCATGCCTGTGATCCTAGCTACTCAGGAGACTGAGATCTGAGGATCACAGTTCAAAGCCAGCCCAAGCAGGAAAGTCTATGAGACTCTTATCTCTATAATTAAATACACACACACACACACACACACACACACACACACACACACACACACACACACACACACACACACACACACACACACACACACACACACACACACACACACCTCTCTCAACACCAAAAACCAGAAGAGCTGTGGCTATAGTGGTAGACAAGACTCTTATCTCTATAATTAAATACACACACACACACACACACAAACCTCAACACCAAAAACCAGAAGAGCTGTGGCTGTAGTGGCAGATGAGACTCTTATCTCTATAATTAAATACACACACACACACACACACACACACACCCCTCAACACCAAAAACCAGAAGAGCTGTGGCTATAGTGGCAGACCAACATCCTCAGGTAGAAAAGCTCAGGGACAGTGCCCGGGTCCTGAGTTAAATCCTCAGCACTAGCACAAAAAAGTGGTAATTGATTTAATATAAAATCTTAATGAAGCAAGGTGCCAGTGGCTCATGCCTGTAATCCTAGCAACTCAGGAGGCTGAGCTCTGAGGATCGCAGTGCAAAGCCAGCCAGGGCAGGAAACTCCGTGAGACTCTTATCTCCAATAAACCACTAGAAAACCGGAAGTGGCGCTGTGGCTCAAGCAGTAGAGCGCTCACCTTGAGCTGAAGAGCTGATGGACAGCGTCCAAGCCCAGAGTTCAGGCCCTACGACTGGACCCCCACCCCCGCAAAAAAAAAAAGGGAAAAAAAAGATTTTTTTTTTTTCGGCTTTTTTCTTTTTGCTTATGTGGTGCTGAGGAATCGAACCCAGGGCCTCAGGCATGCAAGGCAAGCGCCCTACCACTGAACCACCTTCCCAGGCCCCCCCCCAAATCTTAATGAATAAGATGTACTTGGTGAAATAATGTCAATAATTTGATTGGTATAGACAATAACAAGAGACATTCTACTTGATTTGCAAGATAAACTAAAATATGAAATGTAGCAGTCATGCTTTCTGAAATTGTATCTTTAGCTTGAATTTTGCCATTATCATAACACGCTTTATTTCTATACTATTTGCAGCCTATATCCCAACCAGCTGGAGCTGAGCAAGTAGCTATTCAAAAACCAGATGTACTTCGAAGGTAAGTATTATCAAATTAGTACCATGAAAACAATGAGGGTATGTTCAATCATATGTAGTAATGAGATAATTAATATATCTTAGCAAGAGAAGCATTGTATTCTTGTTTTAGTGTATAGGTTTAATAAAAATGGGAGGAATTATTTTTACTCTTTTTGTGTTTATAGCAATCATACAGTGTGAAAGTATTGAATATTTTATTGTGTTTATTTTTGAGAATTTTAGTACCATTTATTTCTATTATTTAGTATTAGTGTGCTGTTTTTAAAAAAGCTTAAGAGAAATGAGAAAAATATAATTTAGAGTAAAATTCCAAAAATCTCAAGATATAAGTTATAATTAGATATATAATTATAATTACTTGATAGTTATAAACTATTTTTCTATATGTTGTATATATTGGATAATTTGTGTTCTTCTATCTTCAAGTTCACTGATTTCTGTGTCCTGATTTATTCTGTTGTTTTGCCCATTCATTGACTTTTATTTCTGTAGTTGTATGTTTAGTTCTTTTTGGTACCAGTCCTGGCCTGGGTACTGTCTCTGAGCTTTTTTGCTCCAGGTTAGTGCTCTACTACTTGAACCACAGTTCTGCTTCCAACTTTTTTGTGGTTAATTAGAAATAAGAGTCTCTGAGACTTTCCTGCCTCAGCTGGCTTTGAACCACAATTCTCAGATCTCAGCCTTCTGAGTGGCTAGGATTACAGGCATGAGCCTGGCACTGGGCCATTAGATTCTTTTTCTAATATTTTCTTTTTTCCATTGATGTTGTTTTTGTCATGTGTTTTTAATTTTTTTGTTATCTTGAAGTACTTGTACAGAGTTTCAATTAAACATGTCAGTTTATGAGTATAATGCATCTTAATCTATGCCACCCCTTTCATAATTCTTCCCCATCTTTTCCAGCCCTACCCATACCCTAATTGTCATGTATTTTCTTTATATTTGTAATTACTCATTGAATCATTAGAAGGTGTATAGTTTTGTAATACATTGCAAAAATCATAAGGAACCTCAATGAAAGCTGTTGATCAATAGAGGACTTCCCAAGACTATGTCAGTAGGTTTCAATGCTCTGTTTTCATAGTTGCAAATGATCTATTTGGATCATATTGAACCTCTGTAATCTTTGTTATCCCAACATACTCCCACTTGAACTCACACACCATAGAACGTATTTTTCCCACTCCTTATGCTCTTATTGGTCAACAGCTTTCAATTGAGGTTCCTTATGATTTTTGCAATGTATTACAAAATTATACATCTTCTATCTTTTTCCCCTCTTCCTTCCCTTGTGCCCTTCCCCTCCTAAGTCATCCCTTAGATTCATGAGCTGTTTATCTTTTTATATATGTATATGTATTCACATATATAGTCAATGAATATGTATGTCTTCTAGGTCTAGCTCTCACCTGTGAGCTGAAAACATAATTTGGTTTTTGTGGTCTTGGTTTGTCTCACTCAATGTGATGTCCCCCAGTACCATCTATTTTTCTGCAAATGATATGATTTCACTTTTCTTTTTGATTATGTAATATTCCATAGTGTGTGCTTATGTTGAGTGTATGTGGCTTCTCACCCAAGTCTGGCACTGTGCCACTTGAGCCATAACCTTACTTCTGGCTTTTTGCTGGTTAATTGGAGGTAAGACTCTCTTAATAGTCTCTTAGATTTGTCTCTCCAAACTGCCTTGAAACCATACTCCTGCATAGCTAGAATTACAGCCATAAACCATGAGGCACTTGGTAGTATATCCCCCATTTTGAGTGAGAAGTTTTTATTTTAGAATTGTTTTTTTTTTTGTTTGTTTGTTTGATCATGGGGCTTGAACTCTAGGCCTGGAAGCTGTCCCTCAGCTCTTTAGCTCAAGGTAAGTGCTCTACCACTTGAGCCACAGCCACTTCCACTTTTCTGAGTGGTTTATTGGAGATAAGAGTCCCAGGGACTTTCCTGCCCGGGCTGGATTTGAACTACGATCCTCAGATCTCAGCCTCCTGAGTAGCTAGGATTACAGGTGTGAGCCACCTGTGCCCAGCTTATTTTAGAAGTTTTATTTGAACATATTGGTAAAATGACATCCAAACAAATAAGATAAAATTTATTAAGAGCATCCTCTAATAAAAGGCTCTACAATTGGTCTATCACTGATAACATTTTTCTTTCATTCCTATTATTGTTAAGAAAATGTAGCAAAATATACACTATAATCTCAATTTTTTCAGAACTTGAAAAACTGCTTTGTTGAAATATAATTTGCATATCCTACAACACACCATTTAACTATGATTCAATGGCATTTAGAACATTCACAGTTATACAATCATAACATTTTTATTCATAAATTTGTGTTTATTGTTAGAAAGATGCTAATATATATGCTAAAGAAAACTCATTCTGTTATATTATTTGAATACTTGTATTCAAATACAATTTTAATATGACTGGAAAGGTAATTTATTTATTTTTTTGGGGGGGTCCGGTCGTGGGGCCTGAACTCTGGGCCTGGGCACTGTCCCTCAGCTCTTCAGCTCAAGGCTAGCGCTCTACAACTTGAGCCACAGCGCCACTTCCGGCTTTTTTCTTTTTGCTTATGTGGTGCTGAGGAATTGAACCCAGGGCCTCAGGCATGCAAGGCAAGCGCTCTACCACTGAGCCACCTTCCCAGCCCCTTATTTTTTATTTTTTATTGTAAAGATAATTGTACAGAGGGGTTACAGTTACATGAGTAAGGTAATGAGTACATTTCCTATCGAGCATTGTTACTTCCTGCTTTGTTTTTCCACTACCATTCTTTCCCTTCCACCATCCCCAAATTCATAACTTTTTAAACTACATTGTTCCAAGTGGAGATTTGGCTCAAGTGGTAGGGTGTCAACCTTGAACAGAAAAAGATAAGCAAGAGCTCCTGGGTTTAAGCCCCAGTCTAATTATTATTTATAATTACAAAATGTATTGTAGTATTTATTGACTTTCCTTAAACTCATTATTTAGGACTTCTAATTGTAAGGTTTGGGTTGGGATTTTTATTTTAAAAATTTTATTGACTGCATCAGAATGAATCACTTTTTTCAAATTACTAGCTCAAATCAAGATGTGGCAGCTATGAAGGAAAGTACCAATAACCCTGATAACTCAAGCGGAAATGGCAAACAGGACCGGATCAAACAGAGAAGAGCTTCTTGTCCACGACCAGAAAAGGGGACTAAATTTCAGCTTATTGTCCTCCAGGTCAGTGGATGAATGTGGTTTGGTTAGAGTGCACTTACAGGGCAATGCTATGCATGTAAGTATAAAATATTATGAAACTGGCACTGGGAAGGTGGTTCAGTGATAGAGTGTTTGCCTTGCTTGCATGAGGCCCTGGGTTCGATTCCTCAGCACCACATAAGCAGAAAAAGCTGGAAGTGGTGCTGTGGCTCAAGTGGTAGAGTGCTAGCCTTGAGCTGAAGAGCTGAGGGACAGTACCCAGGCCCAGAGTTCAGGCTCCATGACCAACCAAAAAGGAAAAAAGATATTATGAAACCATCTGCAAAGCATCTTTTCAGCCGTTAAAGATTTCTGATAAGAGTATCATATATTAATTGTTAAATATGTGGAATATAGGAGAAATGGAAGAAAATAAAAAATTGTTTTTAACTCCCTCTCATAGCTCCTGCTAAAATTTTAATTTGTTTTCATCTCTTTTTTTCTGTATGGGTACGTAGTGTTTTATCTTAAGATTGTAATCCCACTAGTAATAGTAGCAAAAATGTATTGACTTATTTTGTAGTAGGGACTCTAAAGATGTTACACACACACACATATATATATATTTTTTTCTTTTTCTTTTCCTTTTTTTTTTTTTTTTGGTCGGTTGTGGGGCTTGAACTCTGGGTCTGGATGCTGTTCCTGAGCTCTTCAGCTCAAGGCAAGAACTCTACCACATAAGCCACTTCCAGCTTTCTGATGGTTAATTGGAGATAAGAGTCTCACAGACTTTCCTGCCTGAGCTGGCTTTGAACTTGGGTCCTCAGCCTCCTGAGTAGCTAAGATTATAGGCGTGAGCCATCAGCCACTGGCTGTATTCATTTTTATTATATAACCTTTCAAAACCCCTGTACAATAGGCTATAATATACTCATCTTTAATAATGAGCTTGTTGAGGATTAAGGAGGTAAAGCAATTTTCCTGAAGTCATCCAAGTAGCAAGTGTTACAGTCAGAGCTGATTCCAGATCAGACTTTGGTTTTTTTGTTTTGTTTTGTTTTGTTTTGTTTTTGGGTCTGGTCGTGGGGCCTGAACTCTGGGCCTGGGCGCTGTCCCTCAGCTCTTCAGCTCAAGGCTAGCACTCAACCACTTGAGCCACAGCGCCACTTCCAGCTTTTTTCTTTTTTCTTTTTTTTTTTTTTTTTGCTTATGTGGTGCTGAGGAATTGAACTCAGGGCCTCATGCATGCAAGGCAAGTGCTCTACCACTGAGCCACCTTCCCAGCCTCCCAGATCAGACTTTATAAATGAATCATTTCTTCTCTCCTTTTTCATTTAGATTTAGATTTATTCTTTCTGCTAGTCTTTTCTTCCTCCTCCTCCTCCTTCACCTCTTCCTTCTCTTCCTTTTCTTTTTCCTTTTCCTCCTGTCCTTTCATTCTCCCTCCTCCTCTCTATATTCTATTCTCTCATCTATTCTTTTATCTCTAACAACTTAGAACACAGATCTGTGTATCTTCCCCTAGGTATTTGCTTAGGATAGATACCCAAAGTAGAATTGGTTGGTGTATGAAAATTTGGGGGCTAGAAGCATAGTCAGTGATAGAGTAGATATTTACCATATACAAGGTCCTAGGTTTAGTCTCCAGAACCTTAACTGAAATTATGATGATTTTGAAAGTTTCCAATTACATGTTGCTAGAATAACAGATTTTTGCAAACAAATGACTGAATTTAGGTATTACATTGCAGATAGACATAGTGATTTTTTGTATTTTTGCTATATATTAAAAAACGTGTATACAAGTTTCATTTTCTTTCCCATTGAATCACAGTTTTAAGTTATCTTTTACTCAGTAATGTGTGTTTGTCAGATTTGTCATAGAATGGCTGTTTTGATGGTGTTTCACCAAGGGAAAATGGGATTTTCTTTCATTCTGAAATATTTCAATAATTTTTCATATGTATTGTATATAGCCTTATTTACATAGTCCCTGTGTAATTTACGAAAAGAAGACAGTGACTCTTAAACTGGTAAAAATATATGTATTTAGGTGTCAACTTCTGGAGACAATATGGTGGAGTGTCAGTTAGAGACACACAACAGCAAAATGGTTACTTTCAAGTTTGATGTTGATGGTGATGCACCAGAGGATATTGCAGACTATATGGTAAGTGTAGTACAACAAAATTATTTTCTCTTTAGTTTTCTCTGTCTCTTTTTCTCCCTAATTCTTCACTTATTTAGAATTATCTCTTTTTAAAGGATGCAATTAGTTTTTAAAATCTGTACAGAGCTAAATTGTTGATGATCAGAGATTAGTCACTGTATCTTCTCTGCTTTCTGTATATTCATCTGTAGAAATATGAGAGGATTTTATTCTAGATCAATGTCTGTTCATCATTAGCTCTATGATATATATCTGATGAGTTTAGAAAAAACAGTTTGTTGCATGTGCTTTAATTGAATCAGTATCTTTAAAGGTGAAACCTAAGTATCAATAGTTTGCAAAGGTACCCTGGCAATTCTAATGTGTTAGTCACTGATTGGAGATAAGTGTCACAGATTTTTTTACCTGGGCTGGTTTCCAACTGGGATCCTCAGATATCTGCCTCCTAGCTACGATTATGGGCTTAAGCCACTAGCACCCAGCTTTAAGTTAGTATATTTTCAGATTTTTCATGGGGATGGGACTAGGGTGGCAAATACAATACATAATGCTTTTGTATATGCATTTGTGGCTAAAGTAGAAGTAAATGATTTAAAAGTCAGTAGTTTTGTCAGTTTTGTTTCTAGTTTAATATATTATGTTCTGAAATGTATCTATTTCATTTCATCCACGGTTAGCCTGAATGAAGATCTGTGGCCATTTGTTGTCTTTGGAGATGTTTCATTTTTGACTTGTGATTTAAAGCTTTTAGGATTGGACATTCTAGGGACTTTTTTGGCCAGCCCTGGGGCTTGAACTCAGGGCCTGAGCACTGTCTTGGAGCTTTTGTGCTCAAGGCTAGCTCTACTGTTTGAGCCACAACTCCACTTTGGGATTTTGGGTTTTTAGGGGAGTGGTTAACTAGAATAAGAGTTTCACAGACTTTCCTGCCTAGGCTGGCTTTGAACCAGGACCATCAGATTTTAGCTTCCTTAGTAGCTAGAATTACAGCTGTGAGATCCCGGTGACCAGCTGAATACCCTAGTTTTAAATATCACCTCAGTTACATTCTCAATTAACAGATTTATATAGCTCCAATATTTTGGAATATATTGTCTTTTTTCTCTAATAGGTAGTTTCAATCTGAAAAATATCAGTGACTACCCAGGCATAGGGAGCTCACACCTATAATCCTAGCTATTCATGAGGGTGAGATCTGAGTAGAGTGCTTTGTTAACAGCCTGAGAAGGACATTCTGAGACTCTTATCTCCAATTAACAACAAAAATCTGGGAATGGAGCTGTGGCTCAAGTGCACTGGTCTTGAGCATAAAAGCTCAGGGACAGAACCCAGGCCCAGAGTTCAAGCCCTAGGATTGGCAGGAAAAAAAATGTATGGCTTCAAAACATTATAATTCAATGTACTATGTAGCATTGGTCATATTTATTATTTTACTAATCTCTTGAAACAATTAGGTTTATACTCAGTTTTATTTTCTTTTTTTAACCATTAACACAGTATTATAATTTTGAAGAAACAATTCATTTTTGTGAATAAACTGACTATTTTGGGGCAGGTTGAAGATAACTTTGTGCTGGAAAATGAGAAAGAAAAATTTGTAGAAGAATTGAGAGTTATAGTAGGTCAAGCTCAAGAGATCCTTCATGTCCATTCTGCTGCAGAAAAGGCCGCTGGTGTTGACTCTGTTACCTTGGAATCCAATAATAACCAAGTAAGACCAATTGTTTAGCAAGTAGGTCTTTTTTGGATATATACCCTGGACATCTTTATTTATCTGTTCATTTTTTAATTTAGACAGGATCATCTGAACAAGTACAGATAAATTCTGCATCTACTCAAACCAGCAGTGAGTATATTTAATAAAATTTACCATTGGGCTTTTGAAACATGGCATTTGGAAACTTTATATACTTTGACTGAGAAAGATATTAGCCAATAAAGTGATTTGACTAGTTGGGATTTTCCCGTACATTAAAAAAGGACTTCTAACTCAGAGATAAAAATCCAAAGTTCTAGTTCTTTATATGATGAATTTACTTCTCAGTTGTTATATGATATGTTGCCAGAAAGCAGACACAATACTGATGACATTTAATAGCCTAAACTTAACTGGTAAGTTGTTTATTCTGATATGAGATATAAGTTTCTTAACTAAAACCATTATGATCTAAGTTCGCCTCTTTTGTTTTTGGGTTTTTTTTTTTTCTGAGTGATTGTGGGGCTTGAACTCACAGCCTATCCCTAAACCTCCTTGTGTTCAAGGCTAGCACTCTACCACTTGAACCATGGTGCCACTTCAAGTTTTTGAGTGGTTAATTGGAGATAAGAGTCTCATGGGAACTGCCCCATGAGACTCAAAGCCCAGGCTGGCTTTGAACTGCAACCCTCAGATCTCAGCCTCCTAAATAGCTAGGATGACACATAGGAGCCACTGGCAACTTGGTAGAAAGTTTTTTGTTGTTTTTTTTTTTTTTTGGGGGGGGGGTCCGGTCATTGGGCCTGAACTCTGGGCCTGGGCACTGTCCCTCAGCTCTTCAGTTCAACGCTAGCGCTCTACCACTTGAGCCACAGCGCCACTTCCGGCTTTTTTCTTTTTGCTTATGTGGTGCTGAGGAATCGAACCCAGGGCCTCAGGCATGCAAGGCAAGCGCTCTACCACTGAGCCACCTTCCCAGCCCCTGCTAGAAAGTTTTGTATTTTGTTTTAATAGTCATTTATGTCTTGATTCTCTCCTCTGATGATATACTTCAGCTCTGATCACTAACAGTTGTTTTTTATAAATCAGATAATAAGGTAAATGTTCAGACTAAAGCTAGAGTTCTGTTTTCTTTTTTGACAATTTTATTTGAGAAGTTGGCTCAGCGGTAGAGTGCTCGTCTCACATGCATGAGGCCCTAGGTTTGATTCCTCAGCACCACATAAACAGAAAAAGCTGAAAGTGGCACTGTGGCTCGAGTGGTAGAGCACCAGCCTTAGCTGAAGAGCTCAGGGACAGCACCCAGACCTAGAGCTCAAGCCCCATGACAAAAAAAATGAATGCATAGGCATTGACTTTGCCTTCTAAGGAGTTACACTACTTGAGTTCTCCTTTGAATTTGCCATATTTCAGTTAATACATTTGTAACCACTTGCATACCACAAGTATGTGGTATGCAACTTGTAAGTTTAAAGACCAATTCTAGCTTCCACACATAAGGGATATCGTGCAGCCTTTGTCTTGCTGTGTCTGACTTAGTTCACTTAATATAATTTTTTCCAAGTGAAGATGAATGAAGAAGAGAAGGGGTGGAGAATGCTGTCAAGAGTTTTATGTATAGACTACAAAATTAAGAAAAGTAAAGGAAGGAGGTAGGTCAGGAGGAGAAGGATGAGAATGTTGAAAGGGTTAACACTGATCAAGATGCATTTTATTCATAAACTGCTTTGTTAAGTGGCAACTCTTTTGTACAACTATTTGAAGATAATTAAAAAAAAAAAAAAAAAAAGAATGGGTGAGATGCTGGGTGCCTGTGGCTCACGCCTGTAATCCTAGCTACTCTTGAGGCTGAGATCTGAGGATCAGGATTCAAAGCCAGAGATTCAAAGCCAGACAGGGTAGGAAACTCTGAAATTGTTATCTCCAATTAACTACCAAATGAAAAACTAGAAGTGGAGCTGTGGCTCAAGTAGTTGAGTTCTAGCCTTGAGTAAAAATGTAGGCTTGAGCAAGAAGAGCTTACAGACAGTGCCTGAGCCCTGGGTTCAAGCCCCATGACCAGCACCAAAAGAAATTGTTTTAAAGTTGTGGGAAAGGGGTGGAAGCAACAACAACTACAAGAACAACAATAAAAGTGTGGGAGTAATTGAACCTGATAATATCCTGAAATTTGATTCAACTGTTTTAAGATGCCATGGGTTTTTGTTGTCTTACTTTTTTTTCCCCCCAGTCCTGGGACTTGAACTCAGGCCTGGGTGTTGTCCCTGAGCCACTTTGTGCTCAAGGCTAGCACTCTACCACTTGAGCCATGGCTTTACTTCTGGCTTTTTCTGAGTAGTTTATTGGAGATAAGAGTATCACAGATTTTCCTGCTGGGACTAGCTTGAAACCATGATCTCCCAGCCAGCTGAGTAGCTAGAATTATAGACATGAGCTATTGGGCCCAGCTTTTACTTTATTTTTATATTATCATACAGTAAAATTGACTTTTTTCTTTGGTTGAAAAATGCTGCAAATATTAATTCTTTTATAAATTTATACCACCATAATTACTACTTAAGGACCACCATAATCAGAATGCAGAAAATAAGTTTTCCATTAATTGAAAATTAGTGCCTTGGTTGTATATACTATTAATACGTATCTAGTGTTTACATCTTCAGATTGTTTTTCAGGATTGGAAGATCTGTTTTTAATATTTGTAATTATCTTAGCACAGTTTGAAATAGAGATATAACATAAGTTGGCTTTTTAACCTGGTTTCCTTAGTCAGTGAACAAATTGACCATTGCTAGAATAATACTTTTTTGTTGATCATAGGCCTTGAACTCATGGCCTAGATACTATTCTTGAACTCCTTTTGTTCAAGACTAGCACTCTACCATTTTGCACCACAGCTCCACTTCCAGTTTTCAGGTGATTAATTGGAGATAAAAGTCTCTTGGACTTTCCTTGCCCAGACTGGCTTTGAACCACGATCCTCAGATCACAGCCTCCTGAATAGCTAGGATTAAAGGCATGAGCCACCAGTGCTGGGCAGGATATTAATTTTTTGCTAATTCTTTCTACAGATGAATCTGCTCCTCAATCATCCCCAGTTGGTCGATGGCGATTCTGTATCAATCAAACAATAAGAAACCGTGAGGCTCAGTCTCCTCCTTCTCTCCAGCCTTCCGTGGCTATGGTGGCTGGGCTATATCCATTTCCTAGTACGTTTTTATTCTTAGCCACGTTTGTCTAGAGTTGGAAGATATGGATGTAAAATATATACCATATTTTTTTATGACAGTCCTGTGGTTTAAACTCAGAGTCTGGGTACTATCCTGAGCTTTTTTGCTCAAGGCTAGTGCTTTGCTATTTGAGCCATAGCTCCAATTCTAGCTTTTTTGGTGCTTAACTAGAGATGAACATTTCCTGCCCAGGATGGCTTTGAGCTATGATCCTTGGATGCCAGCCTCCTGAGTATATGAGATTACAGCATGAACCACCATATTTTTTATTGATATTATAAAGGTGATGTACAGAGGGGTTAAGTTACATACATCAGGTAAAGAGTACATTTCTTTCTTGACAATGTCATCCCTTCCCTTCTCTTCCCTTGCTTTCTCCCAGTTGTTCCCCTCCCATCCCCACTCATAAATTGTATAGTTGATTTTCAACTTAGTGTTCAGTGAGTACCATTGCTGCATTTGTTTACCCTTTGTCCCTCCATTTCTCTGTCTACCCTTGCAATCCCAATGAAACATAAATGAACAAACAGAACAAAAAGAAAACAAAAGCACTAAAAAAAAATCTTGTTTTCATTTGCTGGAGTTCATTTTATGTCATATTTTTAGCTTGTTTAATGTTTATGGTAGTTTTCATAGGAATTTTAATGACAATATTAATATACACGGTCAGTAGTATTTATTGAATACTTATGAAGATAGAAAAATGCTTTTTCTTGACTAGATATTGTATTTTGTTGTTTCTTTTTTTTATTGTGAAAATACCATACAGAGGGGTTACAATTACATGGGCAAGGTAATGAGTACATTTCTTATCAAGCATTGTTGCCTCCTCCTTTGTTTCCCCTTGCCATCCCTTCCCATCTCCCCCCCCTCCCTTTTTGTTGTTTTGTTTTTGTTTTTGTTTTTGGTCAGTTGTGGGGCTTGAATGCAGGGCCTGGGCACTGTTCTGGAGTTCTTTTGTACAAGGCTAGTGCTCTACCACTTTGAGCCACAGTGCCACTTCCAGTTTTTGAGTAGTTAATTGGAGATAAGAGTCTCACAGGGATTTTTCTACCGGGGCTGGCTTCGAACTGTGATATTCAGCGCTCAGCCCCCCTGAGTAGCTAGGATTAAAGGTGTGAGTTGCCAGTGCCCAGCTTACTGTGATGTTTTGAGTCTTATTTATAAGTATATTCTCATACTGACTTTCATTTATATCTAGCTTTCCTTGTCTTTTTTAGTTTGGGGACTAGTCCATTTCATTCATCAGTACATACTTACCTATTCTATTCCTTTGTTATTATTCCAGGTTCAAGAAACACAAGTAATAAGGAAATATCAAAGGATACACTGTACTCTACAGAAAGTCATTCATGCCAGCATGCAATTTTCACCTCCAATTTACATCACAAGGATGTGGTTGATGGTAAGATTTCTGAATGTGCTAGTGTTGAAATTGAGCAGCCATCTATGCTTTACCCAGGAGAAGATAACAGGCAGATAATAGCACCAACTCCTAGTAGTCCCAATTATTCTGCTACTTCGGTGTGTGCAGTTCCACTTGAATGTAAGGGACTCGTCAGCCAAGCAGGCATGTTCATACCTGTGTGTCCATGTCAACCAACTGCCAACCAGCCTGATGTGCTCATGTCTCATCCTGGTGAATCAACTCTGGTTGCTGGTAATACTCTTCCAACTTTGGCATTTGTGTCTGATAGAACACCTCAGTCCTTATCAGTACAGCAGCCAACTATGGATGCAGAGTTTATTTCCCAAGAAGGAGAAGCAACAGTGAACATTGATACAAGTTCTCCTAAGGCTGTCATTCCCACTCAGGCCCCTGGCCTTGAACCAACTACTCTTCTACCCACTGCTGTCCTGGAATCAGATGGGGAAAGACCTCCAAAAATGGAGTTTGCAGACAACCGAATCAAAACACTGGATGAAAAATTAAGAAATTTGCTCTATCAGGAGCACAGCATCTCTAGCGTCTATCCAGAGAGTCAGAAGGATACCCAAAGCATCGACTCTCCATTTTCTTCCTCTGCTGAAGAAACACTATCTTGTCCAATGCCAGAAGTCATTGCTATCAGTCATTGTGGAATTCAAGATAGCCCTGCACAATCCCCTGTCTTGCAACAGACAGTCCCTAAGATTCTGTCCAATGCGGCTGCAAGTCAGCCTGCTAATATATCAGTGTTCAAAAGGGACCTGAATGTGATTACTTCCGTACCAAGCGAATTGTGTTTACATGTAAGTATCATTATTTTAATCCTTATTCTCCACTTAAGATTTTTAAGGAAATACCTTTTTTTTTTTTGGTTGGTCATGGGGCTTGAACTCTGGGTGTAGGCACTGTCCCTCAGCTCTCCAGCTAAAGGCTTAGGTTCTACCACTTGAGTCACAACACCACTTCTGGGTGGTTTATTGGAGATAAGAATCTCACAGACTTTTCTGCCTGGGCTGGCTTCAAACCACAATCCTCAGATCTTAGCCTCCTGAGTAGATATAGGATTACAGGCATGAGCCACCAGCACCTGGCTTCTATTTGTATTAATAACAGAAAAGAAATTGATTTATAGATTGTATAGGGTATAGATTTCTATTTAAGAGGAAACTGTTTCTTCATGAATATTTTATAGTACTAATTTAATCATATCTTGGGAAATTTAATTTACTTCAACAAAAAGAAAGTAAAAATCATATATAGTCCCATGATTCCCCCCCCCCCCCCCAGATAATGCAAGTCACAGATAAAGAAGAGGCCATAAGTAGGAGGATCATAATCTGAGGCCTGCTCAGGCAAAATGTGAAGCGCTACCTGAAAAATTAAATCTTAATATCTAAGTCCTTTTTTTTGGGGGGGGGGGGGTCCAGTCGTGGGGCCTGAACTCTGGGCCTGGGCGCTGTCCCTCAGCTCTTCAGCTCAAGGCTAGCGCTCTACCACTTGAGCCACAGCGCCACTTCCGGCTTTTTTTTTTTTTCCTGCTTATGTGGTGCTGAAGAATCAAACCCAGGACCTCATGCATTGCAAGGCAAGCGTTCTACCACTGAGCCACCTTCTCAGCCCCTTCTCTGAAGTCTTTTAGATTAGAAGTGTTTTGAATTGTGGAGCCTTTCAAATTTTAGAATATTTATAAATACATAATGAGATATCTTATGGACTGGACTCAAATCTAAACATAAAATTCTTTTATGTTTTATTGACTTATGCAGAGAGCCCAAGGGGCAGTTTATGTTTTTAGTGAACTTAGGTTTTAATTGCAACCACATTACTTGAAGCCATATGTGGAATTTTCTACTTGTGCCATTATGTTAGTTTCAGATTCTAGATATTCAGATTAGGGATGTTCTCCCTTTTCTCCCCTTCCCCTATAATGTATGTACCTTAATCTCCCTTTTTAAATTTTTATTTTATTGCCAGTCCTGGGGCTTGAACTGAGGGCCCTAGGCACTGTCCCTGAGCTTTTTTTGCTCAAGGCTAGTACTGTACCACTTGAGCCACAGCACCACTTCCGGCTTTTTCTGTTTATGTGGTGCTGAGGAATTAAACCCAAGACTTCACGCATGCTAGTCAAGCACTCTACCACTAAGCTACCTTCCCAGCTCTCTTTCTTATTTTTCTTGCTGAGGATTGAACTCCATGTCTCATGCAAGCATTCTACTAAGCAATCCTTCAAAACAATTTCCCTTTTCTATCCCTTCAAATTATAAATATAACCTCTAGTAATTTGGTGCTTAATCCTTCTTGACATTTCTTTTGGGGAGTACAGTACTGGAGTTTGAACTCAAGGCCACAAACTCACTAGGTCGGCACTCTACCACTTGAGCCTCACTTTATCCTCTATTGCTTTAGATTCACTTTTTCAGGTAGCGCTTCACATTTTTGCCTGAGCAGGCCTCAGATTATGATCCTCCTACCTATGGCCTTTTGTTTATCTGTGATGACACATATGCATGACCACATTAGGATTACTGATTAAGATTAGGTTTTATTAACTTTTTTGTTGGACTGGCCTCAAGATGTGATCCTTCTGATCACCTCCCATGAAGCTGGGATTCTTCATGTGAACCACTGCATCTAGATTTCTCTTAAGCTTATATAGATCTATTTCCATACATAGCGCAATCTTCATTTCAAAAAATTGTGCTAAAGCTGGGCACCAGTGGCTCACGCCTGTAATCCTAGCTACTCAGGAGACTGAGATCTGAGGATCACGGTTCAAAGCCAGCCCCAGCAGGAAAGTCCATGAGACTCTTACCTCCAATAAATCACTAGAAAACTGGAAATGGTGCTTGGTTCAAGCGGTAGAGTGCTTACCTTGAGCTGAAGAGCTGAGGGACAGCACCCAGGCCTAGAGTTCAAGCCTCACACTGACAAAAAAAGTCACAAACTGATGGAAGTGGAGCTGTGGCTCAAGTGGTAGAGTGCTCGCCATGAGCTGAAGAGCTGAGGGACAGCACCCAGGCCCAGAGTTCAAGCCCCACGACTGACAAAAAAAAAAATTGTACTATATGCATATTGGTCTTCAAGTTTTTCATTTTACAGTATGTCATGGACATCTTTTTCTATTTGTATTTATTTTAGTAGTTTACAAAGGGTTTTGTTTTTTTTTTGGTCCGTTGTGGGGTTTGAACTCTGGGCTTGGGCACTGTCCCTGTGCTCTTCAGCTCAAGGCTAATGCTCTACCACTTGAGCTACAGCACCACTTCTGGTTTTCTGGTAGTTTATTGGAGATGAGTCTCACGGGCTTTCCTGTCTGGGCTGGCTTTGAACCTCGATCCTCAGATCTCAGCCTCCTGAGTAGCTAAGATTACAGGCATGAGCCACTGGGTGCCTGGCAAAGAGGTTTTAATTCCACAAATCAGATTATGAGTACAAGGCATCTTGATCAGTGTCACCTCTTCCATTGTTCTTCGTCTTTCCCTATCTCACCTATACCTTCAAGTTATGGACATCTTTTAAAATGTTCACCACTGTATTTCTTTGTCCTTGTTACTGTGGAAAGAATATATGCTTGTGTATAAATTGAAAAATATAATGTCCCTAAACTTAAAGACATTTTGCTAAATATATCTAGATGTAGTTTTAATTTTAATATTGTATGCATCAACATAATTCTTTGTATATTTTTATATAGAAATCAATTCATGTTATTTTTGTTGTTGTTGGTCATGGGGCTTGAACTCTGGGTCCTGGGTGCTGTCCCTGAGATCTTCAGCTCAAGGCTAGCACTCTGCCACTTGAGCCACAGCACCACTTCCAGTTTTCTGATGGTTAATTGGAGGTAAGAATCTCAGGGACTTTCCTGCCCAGGCTTGCTTTGAACTGCTATCCTCACATCTTAGCCTTCTTAGTAGCTAGGATTACAGGCATGAGCCACCAGCACCCGGCTTGATTCATGTTATAGTTATCTAATGTACTTCTTTAAATAGGTACACTATTCTGTTTTTTTCTAATAATTAATGGGTATCAAAAAATAATTAATGGGTATCTATTCACACAATTACGCATATATTCACTTTATTTGACACCTACATAATTATTCTCTGACTAGATAATCAAAAATTGAAATTTTAGAACCAGTATATATGCTTAAAACCAATGCAGAATGAGAACAAATTTAACGTAGCTGTTACGTTACTCCCTCCCACTCTAAACACTGTTAAGGTTCTGGTTCTAAATTTTGCAGTCATTGCTACTAGTAACTTGTCAGTAATATATTAACTAGTCCATTTCTTGATTTAGTAATCTGTATGTAGTACCTATTGGCTAGTTGCTATAGAGGATAAAGAAATTATTTTTATTTTCCCTACTTGTCTTCCCTATATAACTTTCAACTTTTGCCTACCAATTACTGGGGTCACAGGTAGGTACTACCACACCTAGTGAGAAAAAAGCTTTTAGAAGAAAGCTATTCTTTTGATGACCAATCAGTTCTCTAATCCATTTGTCCATAAATGCATTAATCTATTCAGTACAGTGGAGCCCTCATGATCTAATCATCTCTTAAAGGTTCTACCTGTTTCTCCCTCTCAGTACTTCACAAGGAGAATTAAATTTCAACAAAGTTTGATATAGACATTCAAATTACAATTTTGGTTTCTCATGGCTAGTACAGAAAAATAAAAGTTGGTAGCACTAGTCAGTGAGCAGAAGTATCAGGTACCCAGTTGAGTCCTGGTGTCAGACTGGCAGGTACCCAGTTGAGTCCTGGTGTCAGACTAGGGGAAGAAAAAGACAAGAAATCAAACTGATTTTTTTTTTTTTGCCTGTCATGGCGCTTGAACTCAGGGCCTGGGCACTGCTTCTGAGCTTCTTTTGCTCAAGGCTAGCACTCTACCACTTGACCCACAGCCCTACTTCAGGCTTTTTTCTGTTTATGTGGTACTGAGGAATCAAACCTAGGGCTTCATGCATGCTAGACAAGCACTCTACCACTGAGCCATATTTCCAACCCACTCAAACTGATTTGTATGGGCTGTGGTTCAGCTCTTCAGGGATTTTTGGTGCCAGCGCTTGGGCTTGAATTCAGGGTCTGGGTGCTGTTTCTGAGCTTCTTTCGATCAAGGCTAGCATTCTACCACTTTAGCTATAATTCCACTCCAGCTTTTTGATAGTTTATTATAGGTTATCTCATGGACTTTCTTGTCCAGGCTGGCATCAAAGCACAATCCTCAGATCTCAGCCTCCTGAGTGGCTAGGATTACAGTTGTAAGCCATTAGTGCCTGGCTATTCTTCAGTTTTCCTGAGTTTATCACTAATAGTTTTTATTGTTCAATATTCTCTATATAAACTACTTGGTTATCTGTAACTAGGCATAGTCTTAATTCATTTCCTATTTTTCTTATCTTTTAATTTTTCCATATGATCATTTTCACCTCTTTATCCTTCTGAAACTTTTATACAGGGAGAATTGAATATGTTTTTTATGCCAGTCCTGGGACTTGAACTCAAGGCCTAGGTACTGTCCCTGAGCTTTTTTGTTCTAGGTTAGTGCTCTATCCCTTGAGCCACAGCTCCAGTTCCCAAAAATTTTTGGTGGTTAATTGGAAATAAGAATCCTATGGACTTTTCTGCCTAGGCTGGCTTTGAATCACAATCCTCAGACATCAGCTTACTGAGTAGCTAGGATTACAGGTGTAAGCCACTGGTGCCCAGCTGAATGGCTCAGTTTATATTGTATCTGCAAGCTCCTATTCAGTCACTTTTACATAAATAATTATTTTTTAAATTTATATTAACTTTAGTTCATTTGTTATCTTATGATGCAATGTCAACAATGGGGATATATTTTGATTAATGTATTGTTAAACTTTTTATTTTCTGGACATCATAGAGTATGCTTGAACAAATCTAGATGGTATCACAATGTACAGTAAGGCTGTCTGATATAACTTATTGTTCCTAGGCTACAAATCTATATAGCATGCCACTGTCTAAAATCTATAGGCAACTCTATTTGTGTGCCTAAAAGTAGGAAAAGGTACGGTCAAAATACTAGTCAACAGGAATTTTTCTGCTACCATTATAATCTTTTTTGTGTCTGTTGTGGGGCCTGAACTGTAGGCCTGGGCGCTGTCCCTCAGTTCTTCAGCTCAAGGCTAGCGCTCTACCACTTGAGCCACAGCGCCACTTCCAGCTTTTCTGCTTATGTAGTGCTGGAGGAATCAAACGCAGGGCCTCATGCATGCAAGGCAAGCACTCTACCATTAAGCTACCTTTCCAGCCCCTCCCATTATAATCTTAAAAGACCACAATTCTATATGAAATCTATTGTTGAGAAAAATGTTTATTTATAGTGCCTGATATCTTTCTCTGTATTACTAATGTTACGTCCTTGGCTATTTCTGTTATTTAAGTATGCCTTTTTCTTTTTCCTTTTTCTTTATTGTTGTAGGCTTGAACTCTGGGCCTAGGCTCTGTTCCTTTGCTCTTGTGCTCAAGGCTAGCACTCCATTGCTTTGGACCACAGCTCCACTTCCAGTTTTTTGACGGTTAGTTGGATGGAGATGAGTCTCACAGGCTTTTCTGCCTGGGCTGGCTTTGAACTGTGATCCTCAGATCTCAGCCTCCTGAGTAGCTAGGATTATAAGCATGAACTACCAGAACTCAGCTCCTTTCTCTTTTTTTTTTTGTCAGTATGGGGGCTTGGACTCAGGGCCTTCCATTGTTTAGCTTTTTTGCTTAAGGCTGGTGCTCTACCACCTGAGCCATACCTCCACTTCCAGTTTTCTACTGGTTAATTGGAGATAAGAGTGTCTCAGATTTGTCTGCCTGAGATGGTTTCAAATCTCTCCCCTCAGATCTCAACCTCCTGAATAACTAGGATTAACAGGCGTGAGTCACTGGTACCTGGCTAGAAGATCTTACATTGTTGGGTTTCTATACATGTTTGGTGCATTTTAAAGTATGTTCCCTTTTTATTCCCTAGTAAGATTCTTTGTTCATCTGTCTATAAGTGCAATATGTAATTAATGTAGCCTCCTTTTCATTATTGTGAGAGAGGCATGGAACATGCTTTCTGGAAATGTATATTGCAACATTTCCCTAATGTGTCTAGAGGATGGCTTAGAAGTTAAGTCGTAAAGTCAGGAGGGCTTACCATTCTTTTTTTTTTTATTTTTTATTTTTTGGGTCCAGTCATGGGGCCTGAACTCTGGGCCTGGGCGCTGTCTCTCAGCTCTTCAGCTCAAGGCTAGCGCTCTACCACTTGAGCCGCAGCACCACTTCCGACTTTTTTCTTTTTGCTTATGTGGTACTGAAGAAACGAACCCAGGGCCTCAAGCATGCAAGGCAAGCGCTCTACCACTGAGCCACCTTCCCAGCCCTCACCATTCTTTTGGATATTTTTCCCTTCCTTCACTGCCCTGTCTCTTGGCCTTGAACCATTCTTTATGCTCTTGTTGGGGATGAAGAGAGTTACTTGGCTGCTGTTTGTAGTGTTTCTAGGGTTAGGAAGGTAGCTCAGTGGTAGAGTGCTTGCCTTGCATGCATGAGGCCCTGGGTTCGATTCCTCAGCACTACATAAGCAGAAAAAGCCAGAAGTAGCACTGTGGCTCAAGTGGTAGAGCTCTAGCCTTGAGCTGAAGAGCTGAGGGACAGCGCCCAGGCCCAGAGTTCAGGCCCCACAACCAATAATAAATAAATAAATAACAGATTCTACATATGTCATGGTCTACTTTTTATTCCTTCAATCATATATAATTATTTCTAAATATTTTCTATTGTGTCTAAGGATGTGGATTAATAAGAAAGCTACAACTGCCAGACACTGGTGGCTCACACCTATCATCCTAGCTACTCAGGAGGCTGAGATTTGAAGATCACGGTTCAAAGCCAGCCCAGGCAGGAAAGGCCCCATGACTCTTACCTCCAGTTAACCACCAGAAAACCGGAAGTGGTGCTGTGGTTCAAGTGGTAGAGCGCTCGCCTTGAGCTGAAGAACTCAGGGACAGCACCCAGGTCCAGATTTCAAGCCCCATGACCAACAAAAAACACAAAAAAAGAAAGATGTAACTTTAATATGCCATTCTATTTACTACATATTTTAAATCCCTGGACCAATTTAAATTGTAATATTATTGAGATACTTCTTTTTATCTCATTGAAGTAGTATATTTATAAATACAGAATAGGACTTTAGAAACTAAAAGCTGAGTGCTCCAGATTTTACTTTTTTTTGTACTATTACTAGAACTTGAACTTGGGGTATCGAGCCTATCACATGGCTTTCTTGCTCACAGATGACATATTATCACATCAGACGTGCCTCCATTCTGACATTTTGCTGGTTAATTGGAGATGCAGTTTTATGAACTTTTCTACCCTGGCTGGCTTCAAACCTTGATTCTCACATCTCAGCATCCAAAGTACCTAGAATTACAGGTGTAAGCCACTGCTACCCAGCCATACTTTTATTTTGATAACTTCTGTTCTGCCCTAAATGCTAACAATGTTTACCCAAGACAGTAGGCCATACAAATGCTAAATCCCATTCTTTTAACCATTTAGATTAGTAATGACCATTCTATTGTTTCCCAGGGTGTTTGTGATTCTGTGTATTAGCTTTTGGATTAAGGGCTGGGAAGGTGGCTCAGTGGTAGAGCGGTTGCCTTGCATGCCTGAGGCCCTGGGTTCGATTCCTCAGTACCACATAAGCAAAAGGAAAAACAAAGCCAGAAGTGGCGCTATGGTTCAAGTGGCAGAGCACTAGTCTTGAGCTGAAGAGCTGAGGGACAGCGTCCAGGCAGAGTTCAGGCTCCATGACTGGACCCCCCCCCAAAAAAAAAATAAAACTTTTGGATTAATTATCATAGAGAATTTATCTTTCCCTGTTTTTGGAAGTATAGGGGTTTCCTAGCTAGGCAGACCTTAACAGCACTTGAGACATGCCACCAGCCCCTATATATGTCTTTAAAGCTTTCAATTAGATATAACAGTTTCTAATTCTGCATTTTATTTAGGAGACATTGTAGAGGACAAGAAGCAAAGAATGTTTTTCTAGCTAGTGTGGCCTGATGTAAAAAATTTTAGAGCATAGCCAGGTGCAGGTGGCTCACGCCTGAAATCCTAGCTACTCAGGAGACTGAGATCTGAGGATCGCGGTTCAAAGCCAGCCCGGGCAGGAGAGACCGTGAGACTCCTATCTCCAATAAACCACCAGAAAACCGGAAGTGGCGCTGTAGCTCAAGTGGTAGAGTGCTCGCCTTGAGCTGAAGAGCTGAGGGACAGCGCCCAGGCCCAGAGTTCATGCCCCACGGCCAACCAAAAAAAAAAAAAAAATTTTTAGAGCATGATTAAATAATTATTCATTATAATGTAAATTTCTATGTAAAAAATTTTTATTTCCTGGGCTGGGAAGGTGGCTTAGTGATAGAGCGCTTGCCTTTCATGCCTCAGGCATGAAAGAAAAAGCCAGAAGTGGCGCTGTGGCTCAAGTGGTAGAGCGCTAGCCTTGAGCTGAAGAGCTGAGGGACAGTGCCCAGGCCCTGAGTTCAGGCCTCATGACTGGAAAAAAAACATTTTATTTCCTAGTACTTTTCTCTCATTTAACTCCTTAAAATACCTTGTTTTGGGCTGGGAAGGTGGCTCAGTGGTAGAGTACTTGCCTCACGTGCATGAGGCCCTGAGTTCGATTCCTCAGCACCACATAAATGGAAAAAGCCAAAAGTGGTGCTGTGACTCAAGTAGTAGAGCACTAGCCTTGAGCTTAAGAGCTGAGGAACAGCGCCCAGGCCCAGAGTTCAAGCCCCACTACTGACAGAACAAACAAAAAAAAAACCCTTGTTTTTCCAGATTACTATATGTCAGGCATAATTTTCTTATGTAGCATAATGGACAGTTCATTGTAATCCCATGGGATTTCAGTAAACTTTTTAAGTTAATTGATAAATGTAAAGAGAGTTATTTTTATCGTAGCTTTCAGTTTTCAAAGATGACATGAGGGCTGGGAAGGTGGCTCAGTGGTAGAGTGCTTGCCTTACATGCATGAGGCCCTAGGTTCGATTCCTCAGCACCACATAAGCAAAAAGAAAAAAAAAAGCTGGAAGTATCGTTGTGGCTCAAGTGGTAGAGCGCTAGCCTTGAGCTGAAGAGCTGAGGGACAGTGCCCAGGCCCAGAGTTCAGGCACCATGACTGGCAAAAAAAAAAAAAGTACTCAAAGATGACATGAAAAAAATGACATGTAATATTAATATAGTCATTTATTCATCCAAAACCAAATAATATTTTTTTTTTATTTTTGTTGGTCATGGGCCTGAACTCTGGGCCTGGGCACTGTCCCTCAGCTCTTCAGCTCAAGGCTAGTGCTGCTCTACCACTTGAACCACAGTGCCACTTCGGCTTTTTCTGCTTATGTGATGCTGAGGAATCGAACTCAGGGCCTCATGCATGCAAGGCAAGCACTCTGCCACTGGCTACCATCCTAGCCCCCCAAAAAATATTTTTAAAGAAATGGAAAAATCCAAAATTCCAATACGATGTAGTACTGTTAATGCAACTGTACATCTATTTCTGATTAATGATTCATTCACATAATAAACTATTGTAGGGGCTGTGTGTACTAAAAAAATTGTCAACCTTACCTAAATTATTACCACTTTAGTTTTTCTCTTCTTTTTTTTGTCTCAATTAGGAGATGTCCCCAGATGCTTCACTTCCAGGGGATCCTGAGGCCTATCCTGCTGCTGTGTCAACCGGTGGAGCCATTCATCTGCAGACAGGAGGTGGATATTTTGGCCTAAGCTTTACTTGTCCTAGTCTCAAAAATCCTATTAGCAAGAAATCCTGGACTCGCAAATTAAAAAGCTGGGCATACAGGCTACGGCAGTCAACCAGCTTTTTCAAGAGATCAAAAGTCCGTCAAGGTAGTGTGCTTACAGTCAGGGACATAGACTAGGTAACATCATTTTTCATTTACTTTTTTTTTGTTCATACACAAACAAATCTTGTCACTTTTTCCATGTAGCCCATGTATGTGACTTGTCCCATTAATATCATTGTCATCTTCTTTTTTCCTTTGGTAATAAATTTAGTTTTCCAAATTACTCATTTCATATAGATCTTAAGTCTTGGGATAAATCTTATATTGTCTGATTTAGAGTTAGGGTCTTATTCAATATTGCTTATTGCATTAACACCTTTGAATTATCTAGCAGGAGTTAAGCTTGTTCTACTTTGTTTTTGATTGTGGAAACATATTTAGTTTCAAAACCTATTTTCTCTTCTCTGCCTATAATTTGACCAAACTTCCAGTGGAAGCAGAAGATTTAAGATCAACAATTGCTCCTGATCCCATTCCTCTGACACGAGAGTCCACAGCTGATACTAGGCCTCTGAGTAGATGTAAAGTGATGAGTGGATCATTTCAACGGGGTCGGTTCCAGGTTTGTGTCTTTGGTTGAATCCTTATCTGTAAGAGCCTTATTAAAATAGAAACATCAATGTCAGACATGTAACTCAGTAGAAGAGTACTTGACTATTATCCATGAGGCCCTGGGTTCCATCCCTGGCACTGTTAAAAACATAAAGTAGTATCATTTATTTGTAGGTTGATCTGGAGATGATGATAACTATAGATCCTTTCATATTTAATTTGTTTACCTTGCCACATATCCCCTCATCTTTGGAGGCCATCAGTAAAGATGAGTCTAAAGAAGAGGAGGATTTAAGTGACTTCACGAGAGCACTGAAATGAATCATCATGTTTTTGATGGGCACTTGGGTCATCTTTTTAATCAATCTTATTTCTTGTCTTTTATAATCTCTACAATTTGAATGATGGGATTTTATTTGACACAACTTTGATTATGAGATTTTATTTGAGCAGTATGGTGCCAACTCTTTTCATCCAAAGGACCCAATTAAAAGACTGAATCTATGTTTTGGGAATATCAGCACAACCTAACATCCACTTGTCTATGCTGTGTATTGATGTTGAATTTCTTCATTGAGGTTTGCTGTAGAGCCAGACACTTTTTACCTTTTTATATCGCAGGTGATTACAGTTCCTCAGCAGCAACCAGTAAAAGTGACATCTTTTGGAATAAAGCACAGACCAGCATTAAAGGAAATGACAAACCAATCTAATGAAGAAGCCCTAGTCTTTACTGAAGCTGCAAAAGCTCAGTTGGTAGAAGTAGAACCTGCCACGCACAATCCTCAAACTTTACTTTCTTCTCAGAGGTTACAAACACTTCATGAAACTTTTAAAGAAGATAAAGGAATTCCCAAGCAAGGTGACAACTTGTTATCTTTCAGCACAGCTTGTGAGACCAATGTATCTACAATGACCTCAGCAAAGGAATTGGAAGAAACATCAGGCACAGGAAGCAACCTGCAGTCTGAATCTGAACTTTTGCATATAGAAAAAGAGGTCCTGACTGCTGGGAAACAGTGTCATTCTAATAGTGAATTTTTAGCCACTCTTGGTGGCAATAGAAAATCAGTGGCAAAAACCAGTTCAGAGAGTAGTCAGTGTTTACCACTCCATGAAGACCAAACTTATGTTCAGACACAGAGTTCACTCTTCTATTCACCATCATCCCCGATGAGCAGTGATGATGAGTCAGAAATTGAGGATGAGGACTTGAAAGTGGAGCTTCAAAAATTACGAGAAAAGTAAGGACTCTTTCTCTTCTGTCACAAATCTAGTTGTATAATAGAACATAATGCTTGATAGCTGATATTTTAATGATTAAAAAAGTTTCTAATGATTGAAAACCACCCACCAAAAAAAAAACAAAAAAGAAAAAAGAAAACAACCCACAATGTTAATGTCTCACATTTGTGAATTTTAAAATCCTTACGTATAAAATATTTTTGTAGGGCTGGAAGGTGGCTCAGTGGTAGAGCGCTTGCCTTGCATGCATGAGCCCCTGGGTTCGATTCCTTAGCACCACATAAACAGGAAAAAAAAAAGCCAGAAGTGGCGCTGTGGTTCAAGTGGTAGAGCACTAGCCTTGAGGTTAAGAGCTGAGGGACGGCGTCCAGGCCCAGAGTTCAGGCCCCACGACCAGACCCAAAAAATTTTTTTAATATATATATTTGTAATTTGAAGACTAATTATACTTGATTATTTACTAGTATGTTGGTGTTTTTCCTTGTTGGTCATGAGGCTTGAACTCAGGGTCTGGACACTATCCTAGTCCTTTAGAACTTTTAGATTAAGATTTTATAACTATTCTCAGTATGCATTTTTTTTTTTTTTGCCTTCAGGGCCTGGGCCCTGTCCCTGACTTATTTTTGCTCAAGGCTAGAACCCTACCACTTCTGGCTTTTTCTGTGTATGTGGTACTGAGGAACTGAACCCAGGGCTTCATGCATGCTAGCCAAGCACTCTACCAATATGCCACATTCCTAGCCCCCTTGTAATGCAATGTAATAAGTAAACATCTAATTCATATAGTCAGTTAGTGGTTCATCTTTAAGAAAAGGTAAGACCCTTATAAGATCAAGCTTGTTATTTGGTGAATGAGACCAACTGTTTTTTTGTGTGTGTTGGTACTGGGGATTGAATTCAGGGTCTGGGTGCTATCCCAGAGCTTTTTTTGCTCAAGGCTAGCTCTACCACTTTAGCCACAGCAGCATTTCTGGCTGTTTTGATAGTTAATTAGATAAGAGAGTCTCCCAGACTTTCTTGCTTTCAAACTACTATCTTCAGGTCTTAGCCTCCTGAGTAACTAGGATCACAGTTGTGAGGCACTGGAGCCAGGCTATCCACTGGCAACCAACTAAGTTTTTTTTTTTCAATTAAGAGTACTATTTAGAAAGCAAAAAAAAAAAAAAAAGTGGGGCTAGGAAGGTGGCTCAGTGGTAGAGTGCTTGCCTTGCATGCATGAGGCCCTGGGTTCGATTCCTCAGTACCACATAAGCAAAAAAAAGCAAAAAAAAAAAAAAGAGTACTATTTAGTTAAAAAAAAAAAAAAGGCAAGCATTCATCTGAGTTTCAGCTAGTCAATATTTTTGCTGGTGAAGTTTATTAACCTTGTCTAAGGATACTGTAGTCATATATTTTGGCATGCAGAGTAGTATTTTGTATTTAGTCAAATTTTTAAGAACTTGGTGTTAAGTTGAATTCTCTAATCCTATTAACATGGCTCAAATTCAAAAGATACAAAAAGATTAGGAGTTTAGCCTCCTTCCTGCCACTGAACCTGTACCCCACAGTTTAGTAGAAGCAAATAATACTGTTTCTAGTATATTCACAAAAGTCTATGTATTACAAATACATGTGTATGTTATTTGTTCCCCTATAAATAGTAACATACTATATACTTATTTTATCACTAAGAAAGAGAGAGAAAGAAAAAGTGAAAATGAAATATATCATCAAGGGAAATTATAGGATCAAGCTAGCAGGCTCAAGAGCCCCATTGTTCTATTTTGCAGCTCTATAGTGTTTCCCTTGACTACATTTTATATTACTTTACCAATATATTTTGTCACATAGAGTGGTATTTTGTATTTAGTCATTTTTGTGCCAGTCTTGAGGCTTAAACTCAGAGTCTAGGCACTGTTCTGTGCTTTTCTTAATCTTTTCCTCAATGCTAGCACTCTACCACATGAACCACAGCTCTACTTCTGGCTTTGGGTGGTTAAAATGGAGATAAGAGTCTCATAGACTGTTCCTGCCTGGGCTGGATTCAAACCATGATCCTCAGATCTCAGCCTCCTGAGTAGTTAATATTTTTTTGCAACCCAGTCTTATCATGTAGCCTAGGTGGGCTTCAAACTTGTGATTGTACTGCCTCAGTGTTAGGACTTAATTTTTTTTTTGTTAATTGTGGGGCCTGAACTCTGGGCCTAGACACTGTCTCTCAGCTCTTCAGCTCAAGGCTTAGTGCTCTACCACTTGGGCCACAGCACCACTTCATGCTTTTTCTGCTTATGTGGTGCTGAGGAATCAAACCCAGGGTCTCATGCATGCAAGGCAAGCACTCTACCACTGAACCACCTTCCCAGCCCCTTAATACATATTTTAAACCAGTCCCAAAAGGCTGTTAGCTTTTGTAGTCGTCAGTAATGGGTATGAGCACTTGATTTTGAATTTGAGACCTGAATTCTCTCTCATAACCTCATAGAAACCAAGACCTGGAGGGGTATTTAAGAATATTCTATTGCAAGGGAAGGAGTAACATTGTTCAAAAAAAGTCATTACCTGACTTATGTAACTGCAACCCCTCTATACATCACCTTTATAATAACAATTAAAACAATATTCTATTCCTGGGCATCAATGGCTCAGGCCTGTAATCCTAGCTACTCAAGAGGCAGACATCTGAGAATCATGGTTCAAAGCCAGCACAGGCAGGAAAATCCATGAGACTCTTACTGCAATGAATCACCAAAAAAGATGGGAAGGAGCTGTGTGGCTCAAGTAGTAGAGAGTTAGACTTGAGTAAAAAAGCTCAGAGGGCTGGGCACCAGTGGCTCACACCTGCAATCCTAGCTTCTCAGGAGGCTGAGATCTGAGGATTGTGGTTCAAAGCCAACCCAGGCAGGAAAGTCCATGAGACTCTTATCTCCAATTAACCACCAGAAAACCGGAAGTGGCACTGTGGCTCAAGTGGTAGAGGGCTAGCATTGAGTTGAAGAGCTTAGGGACTGCTCAAGCCCAGAGATGAAGCCCCACGACCAACCAAAAAAAAATAAAAAATGTTCAGAGGTCTAGGACTGTAGCTTAATGGTAGAGGCCTTGCTTAGCATGCATGAAACCCTGGGTTCAATTCCTCAGTACCACATAAACAGAAAAAGCTGGAAGTGACACTGTGGTTCAAGTGGTAGAGTGCTAGCCTTGAGTAAAAGCAGCTCAGGGATAGCACTTGGGCTCTGAGTTCACGCCCTAGGACCAATACCCAAAAAATATACTCTTCCCAAGTGTGGTGGCCTATGCCTAGATCTATCTAGCTACTCAGGAGGCTGACATCAAGAGGATCATGGTTCAAGGCCAGCTTGGTCAAAAACATTACTGGACCTTCATCCTAAATAAAATTTTGTTCATGGTGGCATATGCCTGTCATCCCAGCTGTATGAGAAACATAAATAGGACCATGATCCAGGTCATCTTGGACACAAATATAAGACCCTGCTTGAAAAATAATGTGAAGGGCTGGGAAGGTGGCTCAGTGGGAGAGTGCTTGCCTTGCAAGCCGGAGGCCCTGGGTTCAATTCCTCAGCACCACATAAACAAAAAGAAAAAAGCCAGAAGTGGCGCTGTGGCTTGAGTGGTAGAGTGCTAGCCTTGAGCTGAAGAGCTGAGGGACAGGGCCCAGGCCCAGAGTTCAAGCCCCACGACCGGACCCCAAAAAAAAAAAAAAAAAGAAAAAGAATGTGAAAAGAGCTGAAGGCTTAACTCACGTGGGAGAGTACAACGTCCTGAGTTCAAGCCCCAATAATGCCACAAAAAATCTATTTTGTGACAGTACTAGGATTTGAACTCAGGGCCTGGATGTTATCCCTTAGCTTTTATGCTTAGGGCTAGCACTATAATACTTGAGTTACACCTCCACTCCCAACATTTTGGTGGTTAATTGGAGATCAGAATCTCTTGGAATTTCCTACCTAGACTGGCTTCGAATCTTGATCTACAGATCTCAGCCTCCTAAGTAGTTAAGATTACATATGTGAGCCACAAGCTCCCAGCTTCAATGTTCTTTTGATAGTAACTTTTAGACACCAGGATGGTGTTTTCAAGGCCTAGAATCCTATAGAACCACAAAAGTGAGCTGAATTTTTATCTTGAATAAACTCTAGTAGTGAGGAGTCACACCAAAATTGATGCATGGAAACATACTCAAATAGTAGAGAAAAAGCAATCAAAATAGTGTCTTACCTCTTAGAGGAAATTTCTGGGAACCATTTGGTGTATTTCTTGGTGCCAGATGGTTATAAACACGTATTTTTGTGTTTTACAAAAGCAGGTTTATCATATACATGTTATTTTACAATTTTTTTCATTTGCAACTGGTGCTCTACAGCTTGAACCATGCCCTCTAGTTCCTGACTTTTTTTAAACATTGTTGCCTATAGAAATTTGGATAAGGGCTGGGAATGTGGCTTAGTGGTAGAGTGCTTGCGTAGCATGCATGAAGCCCTGGGTTCAATTCCTCAGTACCACATAAACAGAAAAGGGCAGAAGTGGCTCTGTGGCTCAAGTGGTAAAGTGGTGGCCTTGAGCAAAAGAAGTTCAAGGATAGTGCCCAGGCCCTGAGTTTAGGCCCCAGGACTAACTAAAATTTAAAAAAAAAAAAAAAAGAAATTTGGATAAAATAGTGTCTGCATGCTATTTCAGTATTTATTCTCTCCATAGACATTTAAATTTCCCCCATAATTTGCTTTTTTTGGTAGGGGGGGTTCAGTCATGGGGCTTGAACTTTGGGTCTAGGTGCTGTCACTTCAGTTCTTCACATCACGGCAAGCACTCTACCATTTGAGCCACCGAGCCACTTCCCCATAATTTGCTTTTAAGACAAAACTAAATTAAACATTTTCCTAATTTTACATCTTTATATGATTACTTCTGTAGGGTATATACAAGTGCAATTGCTGAGTTGAATTGATAGTTAACATTGTAATAACACATTGTAGCTGTACCACTTTATACTCCAAGTAAATATGCAAGGGGGCTTATTTACCCACATCTTAATAGTCCTTGAATGGATATTACCAAGATTTTCATTTTATGCTAATAAATTGAATTTATTTTTTTAGTTTTATTAGTTGGGTATGGTAGCACATACCAGCCATTTGGGAAACCTGAGGCAAAAGTATTGTCAAGTATGGTGTCCCCCCTCAAGTTCTTTAATTTTGTTCATCTGCTTAATTTTGAGATTATGCATCATCTTATATTTGTTACTATTTAAATTTTGCATTTTTTCTTCTTTGGAATTACCTTTTCAGATTCTTTGCTTTGTATGTGTGTGTATTGGTTTGGGGCTTGAACTCAGGGCCCCTAAGCACTGTTTCTTAGCTTTCTGCTCATAGGTGGTGTTCTACCACTTGAGCTACAACTCCACTTCTGTCTTTTTGGTGTTTAATTGCTGATAAGAGTCTCATAGACTGGGCACTGGTGGCTTATACCTGTAATCCTAGCTACTCAGGATGCTGAGATCTGAGGATCATGGTTCAAAGCCAGCCCAGGCAGGAAAGTCTGTGAGACTCTTATATCTGAATAATCACAGAAGAAAAAAAAAACAGTAGTAGTACTGTAGCACAAGTGATAGAATGCTGGCCTTGATCAAAAGGAGCTTAGAGACAGTGCCCAGACCCTAGTTCAAGCCCCATGAACTAAACAAAAAACAAACAAAAACAAAAACAATCAGGTAAATCAAGTCCTAGTATCAATAAAAAAAAGTCTCACAGACTTTCCTGCTGGACTGGCATTGCCCATTTTTTATGTTGTTTCTTAATTTCTTATTGAGTTTTATGACCTTATTAACCCTTTGCATAGGTGTGTTTACACACAAAGTCATAAACTTACACAATGGACCCAAGCTTGAACTCAGAGCTACTTTGCTTGGCTTTTTCACTCAAGGCCAGCACTATACCACTTGAAACTTCCTTAGCTCATTGCAATATCTTGAAAATATTTGCTTTCTGCCAGTCACTGGTGGTTTACACCCATAATCCTAGTTACTCAGGAGGCTGAGATCTGAGGATCGTAGTTCAAAGCCAGCCTGGGCAAGAAAGTCTGTGAGACTCTTATCTCCAGAAAGTCTGTGAGACTCTTATCTCCAATAAACCACTCAGAAAATGGAAGTGGTGCTGTGGCTCAAGTGGTAGAGCACTAGCCTTGAGCTAGAGTTGAGGGACAGCACCAAGGCCCAGAATTCAAGCCCAGGACTGGCAAAAAAAATATGCTATAGTTGTATGTGTCACTATATTGAAATTTTAGAGATTTGTCCTTATTAGTTTGTTCATATATTTCTATGACTGCTTTGTTTAATGTCTTGCTTAGGAAGGTATTTCTGATTCTAAAATTGTGAAAATATTCTATAATTTCACTTTTCTTAGTCTCAGTTTCTTGTTAAACTGTCTTGTACTAGCATAGTTTCTAGATTCAACATTATAAGACCATGGTCATTGAAATGTTTTTTGTATAATTTTTCATCCAGACACATTCAGGAGGTGGTAAATCTGCAAACACAGCAGAATAAAGAGCTGCAGGAGCTCTATGAACGCCTGCGATCCATTAAAGATAACAAAGCCCAGTCTTCAGAGATTCCTTTGCCACCTACATCACCACGTCGGCCAAGATCTTTCAAAAGTAAACTTCGCAGCCGTCCCCAGTCCTTGACACATACGGACAATAGCATGGTTACAAAAGGTAACTCAATCATAAAAGTAACTTTTTAAAAATCTATCAGAGCTGGGAAGATGGCTCAGTGGTAGAGCGCTTGCCTTGCATGCCTGAGGCCCTGGGTTCGATTCCTCAGCACCACATAAGCAGAAAAAAAAGCCGGAAGTGGCGCTGTGGCTCAAATGGTAGAGTGCTAGCCTTGAGCTGAAGAGCTGAGGGACAGCGCCCAGGCCCAGAGTTCAGGCCCCACGGCCGGACCCAAAACAAAACAAAACAAAAATCTGTCAGAGCCAGGGACATGCCTCTGAACTGGAGACCTGGAGTCAGGGGGATCACAAATTCAGGGCCAGCCTAAACTGCAGTACAGACTTTGTCTAAAAATTCATTAGGCAAAGATTAGCAAAATTAGAAATACAATGATAATATAATTTGGTTTTTGTTAGACTAAAGTGATTTAAAGTAGTACACATTGTTCTAAAATGTTTTTTCTATTCTTTTGATGATAAGTGTTGTTTTATGAAATAACAATGAAAATAACAGATTGATTTTTGGAGAACAGCTGAATTTGTTTTATCTTTTCATTGGGTAAACTAGAAGACCAATATAATTTCCCAGAATTGTTTTGGAAATCTTACCAGTCAGTGACAATTGCTGTTCTAACATTGAGAGTATACTGATAACAAAGATAAACTTTAAAATATTGAGGTGAGGTTCAGTGGTAGAATGCTTGTTTTACATGCATAAAGCCACTGATTTGATTCTTAATGCCACACACATCAAATATTCTCTTGCTATCTGAAAAAAAGAGGTCATTGGTATTATCTATAGGAATATTAGTAGGGGCTGGAAATGTAGCTTAGTAGTAGAATGCTTGCCTAGCATGCGTGAAACCCTGGGTTTGATTCCTCAGTACCGCATAGAAAGAAAGAAGCAAAGAAAGAAATGAAGGAAAAAAAGAAAGAAAGAGAGAGAGAGAGAGAATATTAGTAGCTGGGTAAAGTGTCTTATACCTATAATTTTAGGTATTCATGAGGCTGACATTTGGAAGATTATAGTTTGAAGCTAGCCTGGGCATAAAAATCTAAGAGACTTTATTTCCAAAATAACCAGCAAAAAGCTGGGTTGGAGGCAGGGCTCAACTGGTAAAGCACTAATTGATCAAGCAAGTCAAATAAGTGCAAGGTCCTGAGATCAAACCCCAGTACTGGCTAAAAGTATGTTACTTGGAAAAGGGAAGGGTCAGTATATACTTAGTTAATTTCTCTTGCCTGTAATCCCAGCTACTTAGGAGGCTGAGATCTGAGGATCAAAGTTCAAAGCCAGCCCAGGCAGGAAAGCCCATGAGACTTTTATCTCCAATTAACGGCCAGAAAACTAGAAGTGGCACTGTGGCTCAAATGGTAATGCTCACCTTGAGCTGAAGATCTCAGGGACAAAAAAAAAAAAAATAGGTTAAATTTCTTTGGTTCCATATTCAATCAGGTTAGGTTGAGGGTACACTCTAAGACATATGTGAAATCTCAATAAAACTTGTAGTGGGCAATGTAATGGCTCCTTAAAGAGCAAATATGTAGAACAGTTATATAGAAAAGGAGAATTAAGAGTGCAGGTAGAATTTAAATAGCTCATCAACTAACTTTTTTTATTTTTGGTCTGTCATGGAGCTTGAACTCTGGGCTTGGGCACTATCCCTCAGTTCTTCAGCTCAAGGCGAGCACTCTACCGCTTGAGCGCCACTTCCGGTTTTCTAGTGGTTTATTGGAGATAAGAGTCTCACAGACTTTCCTCCTTGGGCTGGCTTTGAACATGATCCTCAGATCTCAGTCTCCTGAGTAGCTAGGATTACAGGCATGAGCCACAGGTGCCCAGCTTCATCAACTAACTTTAAGCAAGGAAGATAACATTGGATCCAGTGGCACTGTGGCTCAAATGTTAGAGTGCTAGCCTTGAGCTGAAGAGCTCAGGGACAGTGCCCAGGTCCAGAGTTCAAGCCCCACAACCAACAAAAAAAAAATACAAGCTAGTCATATGTGGTAGTTTACTCCTGCATTCTCTTCATTGAGGAGGCTGCAGCAGATGTGTGGCAAGTTCAAGGCTAGCCTGAGTTACACAGGGGGACCTTGTCTCAGCAAACCAAAAACCTGTACTTTGATCTTCCTAAAGTCAGAGATAAGGGTATATTTGAATTGAAAGAAACTGTGAGGATTTAATTGAATTCCTAAGATCTTCAATCTAATGTTATATTTCATTGTATTATGTGTGGTCCCCAAATGGCTTGTTTATTTATTTTTAAATAAAGCCTTTCTATGTTTTCTAGTCTGGCCTTAAAACTCTTGTGCTCAAGTGATCCTCATGTCTCAGTCTCCTGAGTAATGGGATCACAGGCTATAGAACTTAGAAAATTTTGGGGTGGCTCAGTGGTAGAGCGCTTGCCTTGCATGCCTGAGGCCCTGGGTTCAATTCCTCAGCACCACATAAACAAAAAGAAAAAAGCCAAAAGTGGCGCTGTAGCTCAAGTGGTAGAGCGCTCGCCTTGAGCTGAAGAGCTGAGGGACAGCGCCCAGGCCCAGAGTTCAGTCCCCATGACCTGACCCCCCCCCCCCAAAAAAAAGAACTTAGAAAATTTTTTTGTTTTGTTTTGGTGATACTGGGGCTGGAACTCAAGGCATTGCCCATCCTAGGCCTTACCACTGAGATATATCCCTAACCCAACCAAAAGGCTTGTTTTTATTTATGTTTTCTGTTCACCAACATAGGTTTTTTTTTCAGTCATTGAAAGTACCTTATAAAGCCAGGTGCCATTGGCTCATGCCTATAATTCTAGCTACTCAGATCATTCAGGATGCTGAGATCTCAGGATAGCAGTTTGAAGGCAGCCTAGGCAATAAATTACTCCGAAAAAGATGGAAGTGGTACTGTGGCTCAAGTGGTAGACCACTAGCCTTGAGCAGAAGCTCAAAGACAGTGCCCAGACTCAGAGGTCAAGCCCCAGAACTGGCAAAAGAAGTAGATTATGGTAGTCTCCAACGATTGTTGAATTAATATGTTGCTCCATTCAGTTCTGTTAATTTTTACTTCACATATTTCGGAACTCAGTTGTTAGTTGCCTGTATTTATAAGTGCTTGCAGTCTTGATATTATTGTGTGTTTCTGATATTATTATAGGCAATCTACCTTACTTTTATTTATTTCATGATGATGCTGGGGGTTTAACTCAGAGCCTCCTACTCTTGTTTTTTATTTTTATTTTTTGGGTCCGGTCATGGGGCCTGAACTCTGGGCCTGGGCGCTGTCCCTCAGCTCTTTAACTCAAGGCTAGCGCTCTACCACTTGAGCCACAGTGCCACTTCCGGCTTTTTTCTTTTTGCTTATGTGGTGCTGAGGAATCAAACCCAGGGCCTCAGGCATGCAAGGCAAGCGCTCTACCACTGAGCCACCTTCTCAGCCCCCAGAGCCTCCTACTCTTTCGTAGCTCTTTTGCTCAAGGCTAGACCTCCACTTCTAGCTATTTGCTGGACAATTAGAAGTAAGAGTCTCTCAGAGGGCTGGAAGGTGGCTCAGTGGTAGTGTGCTTGCCTTGCATAAATGAGGCCCTAGGTTCGATTCCTCAGCACCACATAAGCAGAAAAGGCTGGAAGTGGCACTGTGGCTCAAGTGGTAGAGCGCTTGCCTTAAGTTGAAGAGCTGAGGGACAACCCCCAGGCCCAGATTTCCAGCCCCACGACCGACCAAAAAAAAAAAACAAAAAACAGTCTCTCAGATGTGTATGTTCAGAGTGTCTTAGAACCTCGATTATTACGTCTCAGAGTCCTGAGTAGTTAAGATTATAGGCATGAGCCACTGGTACCGAGCCCACCTCTCTTTCATTTACTGCTTATACACTATACTGTTTTCCATTCTTTTTTTTGTCTGTCCTAAGACTTGAACTCAGGGCCTGGGCACTGTCCCTGAGCTTCTTTTTTGCTCAAGGCTACTCTACAATATGAGCCACAGCGCCACTTCTGACTCTTTCTGTTTATGCGGTACTGAGGAATCCAACCCAGGGCTTCATGCATGCTAGGCAAGCACTCTACCACTAAGCCATATTCCCAGCCCCCAGAGCTTGGGCTCTCTCTGTCCCTGAGCTTTTGTGCTCAAGGCTATCACAGTACCACTTTGAGCCACAGCTCCACTTCTAGCTTTTTGCTGGTTAATTGGAGATAGTCTCAAGGACTTTCCTGCCCAGACTGGCTTCAAACTGAGATCCTCAGATCTCAGCCTCCTGAATAGCTAGGATTAAAAGTATGAGCCACCAGCACCTGGCCAGATTTGTGTTTTTTAATCTAATCATTCTTAATGAGGGATATTATATAGTTAGCCCATTTTTTAAAAAAGAAACCTATTCTATCAATCTCTATCTCTACTTGGGCTCTAAAAACCATTTCTATGTAATATAATTTAAAATAAATAAGGTAGAATATGTTTGTTGTTGTTATGCTTTTGGGTTTTCATATGTCATTTGACTTTGTTCTCTTTCTTGATTTCTGCCTTCCTTTCTATATATTTTTTATATTTTCTAGTATGAGTTTTAATTTCTTTGTTTTATTTTGATTTTTTGGTTATTTTGGTAGTCATGGGTATTATAATTAAAAATTATATATATATATATATATTTTAGGGTTTGAACTCAGTATTAGGGTTTTAACTCAGAATGTTACACTTATTATTCAGGTGGTCTACCATTTGGACAAGCCCAGCACTTATTTTACTTTAGTTATACTTTAGATAGGGTCACATTTGCCTAGGGGTGGCCTTTGACTACAATCCTCCTGTCTATGTTTCCTGCATAACTGGAATTTCAGGTGCTCACCACCATACCTGTCTTATTGGTTGAAACGGGGTTCCAAACATTTTGCCCCAAAATTCAGTCCTCCCAATCTTCACCTTATGAGTAGCTGAGTTGCAGTTGTACGACACCAGACCTAGCCTAAAATTAGCTTCTTAATTTAGAACAATCTAGTTCAGATTAACACTAATTTAATTTCAAT